CCCGGCGCCCGCCAGCCCCTAAAACAGACGGGGCGCCTGCGGTCCGCCGCTCCAACCGATCCCCCGGGCACCCCGGCCCCGGGCCCCTCACTCTGGCGACCCGGAGGTGACAGGGCCCGCCGGGCAGGGTCCGCGGGGGATCCGGGATGGGCGGGGACGCCCTAGGCAACAGGTGACCCGCGGCGCCTGAGCACACTCTCCGCCTCGGGCGGGGAGCGGCCCCAGCAACCCCAGGGCCCCGCAGGTCGCCGGCGGCACTTACTCGCTCGTGGGTCCCCGGCCGGGCAGAACCGAAACTTTCTCGGGTCGGGCGGAAGAGTACTGGAGCGCGACGCAGGCAGTGGTGACGCGCGCTCCCGTCCGCGGGCCGGAGCGGACTACAATTCCCAGCATGCTGCGCGGGACCACGGCCTACAAATCCCATGGGACTCCGCGGGCGGGCAGGCGCGGACTACGACTCCCGGCGTGCTCCGCTCTCACGTCCCTATTCCCCAGCCCCACCCACGTACCAAGCCCAACTTCTAAGCGCTTTGCCGTCCTGGACGGGATTGTCTGGGGCCCTGAGAGAAAAGCTATCTGTGTGTGTCTATTGAGCGCTTGATGTAAACCACAACAGGATCCCAAAGACTTAGTCCAAAACAGAAAAAAAGATGTAAAATACCTCACTGATATTTTTATATTCTTACATATTGGCAATATGTTTGATATATTAGGCTAAGTAAAAAACATTTTATATTTTTGGACCTCACATCCCACCTTTTGGTCCCCCCCGCGTTAAGTCAGGGACTTAAAAGTCTGTGTTCAAAGCTGTGTTCGTTAGTGAACTACCCTACACCCCCAGCCAGTCTGTGCGGGTAGGTTGTAAAGCTGGACACAATAGAACACAATGCATTCAGTGCAGTGTCTACCAGGGGCACAATAGAGGAAAGCGACAGTACACGCGGGACTTCAGCCAGGGATTGAAGCTCTGGCCACCCGGTGCTTTTGCCCTGGTTCCCACCAACTAGGCTAGAAACACCTCTCTCAGGACTTAATCAGTGGTGAACCCACTGATGACCACAGCACCCCCTGACCCAGCCACCTTCCACACAGGAGACTTCGGGGGACATGTTAGACCTCAACCATAATCACTCTAATATGGATGTTTCAAAAGCCACGGCCAACTGAAAACTCCTGAAATTTTAAAATAAGCTCTGCATAATACAGATTCAGGCTCCCCGCCTCCGGCCACTTTTTGTTATAATCAGAGAAAATAGTATTCCCTACAGAAAAAGGTGGCCGTTGTTCCCTAGTTTACCCAGGACGGCCCTGTTATTTCATTAGGAATATTTTTCTTCACAACAAAATGGAAGATAGAATGCAGGTTAATGTTGTTTTCCACCTCCTCCCTATCTTTTCTTACCCTCTCCTCTTCCCTCCCTCTCACCCCCATTCTCTGGTTTAATACCAAACCTTCTACTTGCGTGTTGTTTCTTTTGTTTGCTTGTTTATTTGTCTCTAGAGTCCACATGTCAGATAAAACACCTAATACTCGTCTTCCTGAGTCCTGCTCCTTTCAGTGAATACAATGACCTCCAGTTCCACCAGTTTCTGTTGGGGACTACTACAAAGTGGCTCCGAGCAGGATTTAATATTAACCAATTGGCTTTCCGTGTTTACTTGTGAGTTGTCTGAAGGCCGCAGCTGAGGATGTCTGGCTCCAACCCCAATTAACTTAGAGGAGACTGTAGCTGCAGGCATCTCACTCCTGCTGTGAAGGCCTCCCTGGAGATAACATAGTTCTCCTAAATTAATATAACGTATTACTTGGAAAAATCCTGCCCAGATTCCCATGTTTTCTTAAGTATCCTCTTCCTTTGTTTGTAAACCAAATAAATACAGATCGCCCAGAGAAGTCTTTGGCTAAACTCCGAGAATATCGAAACTGTGAGGGAGTTAGTCCCTCCTGGAGCCCTAAAATCATTGCCATGGTCTCATTTAAGCCTTCATCGTCCACTCGCTTGGGAGATTGTGGGCCTGATCAGCCTGCAATAACTTAGGGTTTTTTAACCCGGTTTTTGATAAGTTTTCCTGTAAATGTCATGGTTTCCTTCTTTATGGACAAATAGTACTCCATTGTGTACATATACCATTTGTCTTGATCTATTCATCTGTTGATGGCAGGCATCTAAGCTGGTTCTATATCTTGGCTATTGTGAATTGTGCTGGAATCACTATGGATACCCAGATATCTTTATAGTACTTCTTTAGGAATATACTAAGGAATATAGAACTGGATCATATATATATACATATATATATATATATTTTTTTAGAAAACTCCATATTGCAAGTGGCTGTACTAGTTCACATCCCTACCAGTACTGTAGAAGGGTTCCCCTACTCCCCATCCTCACCAGCATTTATTGTTTTTTATGTTCTTGATCATAGCCATTCTGCCTGGAGTGAGAAAGAACCTCAGTGTGCTGTTTTAAACATGAGTCTGTTTTAAACACAGAGTCTCACACTATTCTCATCCAGAGATGGAATGAGGGACATCTGTGTCTTCCTCCTTTGAATTGGGGCTGAGACGCACGAATTGCTCCTGACCTACAGAGTGTGGCAAAGGTGATGTTATGTCACTTCAGAGGCTGGATAGGAGTAGACAGTGCATTCTCACCTGGTTCCTTGGAATTGTTCTCTGCAGGAGTCAGCTGCAATTGTTCTCTACTATATAAGACATCCAATTATCCGAGAACTCCCTGCTGGATTGGCCACATCTACAACCCAGCAGTGCCCAACCAGTTCCAGCCTCATCTGCCAGGCATGTGATTACACTGTGACTTGAACGTCTGCCTGCTCAAGCCACCCAAGGTGAGAACCGCCATGCTGAGCCCTTCCTGTACTTCTCATCCACAAAGTCATGATTGGATTCAAATTTGTCAGGCAGAAATGGTATCTGGAATTGAAATTTGGTGCTCATGTGAGGTGGGAAGAGTGAACTGTTTCAGTGTGGTGGCTTAGATCCAGAATGTCCCCCCAAAAGTTCATATGTTCTGAGGATGGGCTTTTGGAGAGTGATGGGCTTTCCAGGGCTCTAACTTCGTCCAGGGAATCAACCTATCGATGAAATCATACTCTGACAGCATCACTGGGAGTGGTGGAAGCAGGAGGCGGAGCCTGGTTGAGGGAGTGGATGGGACGAGTGTGACCTTGGAAACTGTCTCTGGTCCCCAGCTCCCTCTTCTCTGGTTCCTGTCTGCCATAAAGTGAGCAGCTTTCTTCCACCACACCCTTCCGCACTGTCACAGGCCTAATAGTAATGCACTTTCATGAACTGAAAACCATGGGCCAAAATAAATCTTTCCCCTCTGTTGTTTTTCTTGGGCATGCTGTCACAGTAATGAAAAACTGACCAACGCAATCAGAACTGTATTTTCCAAAGATGGTCACAATAATATTTCTACTCCTGTGTGTCCTACAATGTGACCTCCCCGTGAAGAGGAGAGTCCAACTTCCCGTGTCTTTGGATCTGAGAAGCTGGTGTCTTGCTTCCATCATCAGAGAAAGGCAGAAGTGACACTATGTGCCTTCCAGCTGAGGTAAAGCAGTTGGAGCTCTGAGCTTTCATGTGAGAAATCTGATATGGAGGCTGCCATGCCACGAGGAAGTCCCCACGGTGAGGTGGCTGAGGCGGACCCTTGTGGACATGTAGAAGAACACCCGGGGCAAAGGCTCTGAAGCTCGATGTGTGCCCAGCGTGTGTGTATGTAGGAGCCACGAGGCAGCCAGTGTTGCAGGAGAAGAAGAAACTACAGGGACCAGGGAAGAAGAGGGAGATAAAAGTGACTATGGGTGATCCAGGTAGCAGCAGAAGGGACAGGGTGAGTGCTAAGGCAAAGCTGAGAAAATTTGCTCAGGAATTGCTCATAAACTCTAAGAAAAAGAAAAGCACCCAGGTTGATCTCAAGCTCTTTGGCCTTACCCACTCTGTGTGCTTCTTATTTTCTGTGCTATGATGGAAAGACTTTTGAGGAAGTCAAAGGGCCTGAAGCTACCCCCGTCACTAAAACAGATACGAGAAAGAGGAGAGCAGACCTGGAACATCGACTGTGGTGGCAGGAGTGGGAAATGCTGTTCAGAAGACTGAGGTTTGGGGATCAGCACTACAGGATCAACATGGAAAAGTGGGATAAACGGTTGGCGGACACTACCATTCCTTCTCATTCTAGGGACATTGCTGAAAGGGCCTTGTTCAGGGCAAAAAAATTCCTTGGACTTGGACACAGAAGACTTGAGTGTCAATCCAGGGACAGACGGGGCCAGAACACAGAGTCACAAAGGCTGCAAGACACCTCTGGCCTCCTGGGCAGTTTCACCTAAGGCCTCAGGGCAGCCCCTGATTCCGCCTGCCTGACCTACACGAGGCTGTGTTCTGCACTTCATTCTCCAGCCCCGAGTCCTAACCCAGACCCTCCGGAAGCAGAGAACTTTCAAGAACCATCATGCTCTTGGGGGGAGAAAGGGAGACACAGCCCAGGCTGTGGCCGGAGTGTCAGGTGCCCAGTCACAGCAGCTCAAATTGAGACAAGCCACCGGAAGTAAGTGAGAACAAGCTGATCTTTACTTGTGCATAGAATCCAGACGCCTGCCTGTTTTGTATTAAATGATTGCGTGGTGATTCATATTCATGTAGGACAGAATGGCTTACAAATGGAGCATGCATTCTCACGCACAGCCCAGGGTCGGGGGAGTCAAAATAGTTTTTTTTAAATGAAGTTTATTGGTACAGTTTAGATATACACGATGATCATATCCATCCTAGGGAATTTGTGAGTCTCTATAGTTGTCACATGAGGAAACTGAGGCTCCAAAGGGTCCTGGGTCCCAGTGGTAAAGAAACAGTTTTTGACTGGGGGAGTTCGGTCTGGGTTCAAATGCCATGAGCCTCTCCAACACTGTACTGAGGGGTCTCTGCTGGAATTTCCGTGTCTGTGGGCCTCTCTGCCCCATCGCAGGCAGGTTTCCCAAATGCTTATTTGCAAGCAACTGGGCAAGGTTTGGGGTGCTGGACCTGGAGGAGGGGCTCAGGAAAGCTTATTTGCTCCACAAAGCTTATTCGCAAGCAACTGGGTGA